CGATTTCTTGGAGCTGTGTGCACACATTTGGGGCAGCAACGGTCGGCATAGACCTGGTGGCCTGGGTCCATGGGTCTCTGACAAGCCAAGGGCCCACATTTCCGGAACTGCACAATTCCACGGTGCTCTGGGGGCCAATCACATTGGGCACGGAGGCAAGACCAGCAGACAGGGACTCACATCTGGAAACCATAACTTGGCCATGTTGCATATTCCATACTGGCTGGGGAGGTTCGGTGACCGACTGGACCAACCACATGACACCACCTTCAACCGTACGAGCAGGCTGCAAGGGCCGGGCTTGCCAAGACCAAGAGGCAAAGCCCAGTGTTTTCCTATCGCTTCCAAAGGGCCATGGGCCACAATGCCAACTCATCCTTTGACCCGGGGCTAGGAATTGACCTTCAGGTTTGACCTTGGAAAACACAGCATGGAAGTGTTGGGAGGGCACACGGATTCCAAACCGACGACCGGACCTGGCAACACCGATAGACAAGGGCTCGCACTGAGCTTGGTGCATTGCTTCTTGGCAGGAGGCTTGAGGCAGCCAAACCACCTGAAATTCATCTGACGGTGTGGCAGCATCCATGCTTCGGGGTTCAACAAACAGTCCACCACCACCACTAAGCTTCAGGAGAGCATGCTCTTGTGTCTTCAAGTATCTGACCTGCACAGAAAAGTGGGACCCTTGTGCCGCACGGACAGGCCGACCAGCATCAGTAAAGAACTGCCGACGGAAAACATCCAAGATCACATCATTGGGCGAGTCACCAGGCTCAGGATGCCATTTGTCGCAACAACAGTTGTCAATCCTGCAGGCCTGCAATGGTGGGAGTACCTCGAGGATGTTTCGGACTGGATGTTCACAAAAGGAATCCCAATCATGAGGCCACTGGTCACGGAACACCGTAAAACGCGCACAAGCCGCAGGAAAGGACGGCACAGCAGGAACAGCACCGAGCGAAAGGGTCCAACGGTGGTTTGACCAAGCTGCACAAGAAGACCCGACAGTAGGACTGGCTGGTTGTTGGCCGCACAAGTCGCAGCAAAACGGATTGAGGACCATGGCAAATCAGATTGAATGTCAGTGGGTCCATTGATGGCCAAAAGAGCCAATCCTTTCGAAGTCAGAACTTTGCCAGAATGGAGAAACTGCAAAGCATCACTGTAGTGAACCAACGCGATGCCAGTGGCTAAGGGCCCAACTTGCGTCAGTGGGATCTGTCTCACTGGCGTTCCATCAGGTAAGCAAAAGGACTCCTCAGTCAGGTGCAAGCGGGTCGGGTCAACATCTGCTGGTTTGGGTGGGGCATGTTTGATACCCTGCTTCTTGGTGGATTTGACATCACCTTTCACTTTCTTGGCTTGAGTAGCAGCGGCTAACTCATCAGGCAGCACAAGTTGCACAACTGGCGTGTGCCGATTGGCAAGTTGTTTCAGTGTCTTCCAAGGTGACACTCCTCCAATGGCATTCTGGACTGGGTCTCGTCCAAGGCTTTGCATGACCAGACGGGCACGTTGAACTGACACTTGCTGTGGGACACCATGAAACTGCAAAAGATTGGCAAGGACCGACTGGACATCAGGCACTCCCGCACCCCAACACCAAGGTTTGAAAACCATGTTGTCACCTGCCAAGGATCCATGAAACTCCTGTTTGAGCTTGTGTTGCAAATTGACCAGGCTGGCCTCATCATGTGGTAAGTTTCCGAAAGACAGTGAGGACAGGACAAATCCAATGGAGGCAGCACCGCACATGGAAAGCCCAAAACTGCGACGTGTGCAAGCAACACGGAACATCGGCAAGTCCAACGCCTGACAGAGAAGTCCATGTCGACATCATCATGATCCCAACAAAGAACTTCAAGTGAGGAGACTTTCTTCACCCAAAGGAAAGGAGTCCAATGGCCATTGGAAAGCACAGCAGTGACAATCCTGTTCCCCATTCCATCTGCAGGAAGCCAGGTTCGAACCCAATCGACATTACCCACACGAAGCCAGCTGGAAGCCAACAAGGGGTCAAGTACCAAGGTATCATGGGTGGAGGTCACCACGATCACATTCTGAAGGTGCCAGAGGATTTCGTCATCGCCCCAAACATGTTGTTGCATTTCTAACAACCTTGTTCTCACAGTGTGGTCAATGACTTGGGCTCGCAGCGCATGCAACAAAGAAGGATCACCAACCAACGGAGGCAGCATGTCAAGCAATAAGGAAGGGCTCAGGTTGAGCAAAGCCGAGATGGTACTATCCACTGCACGTGAGGGCGCAAGTCCAAGTCCAGCCTCACTCATCGTGACATCAACAACAGGTACAGAGCCTGTGGCAGGCTCCTCACCATCGACCAGGGTAGGTGCCAAATCGGTGGCCATGCCATCATCCGCAAAAGGGCATTCAAGCTCCTGTTGGTCATGGGGGGATGCTGTCTTGTCATCTTGGTTGACATCACGCAAGTCCACATGCTCAAGGTCACGCAAAGGAAAGTCCAAAGGTAACGGATCTGGAAAACCAGAGGCAAAGGCGACAAGCTCAAACACAGGGATGTGCCGCAAATCACACTCAGCCCAAATCAAGTCTCGGACAGTACAAGCTGGGCCACACACGACTTGAACCTTGACTCCTCCGGACAGAGAGACCTCAAGGACCTTGGCTGAGACGGGTGGTGGTGGCATGGTCTTGGGCACATCGGCAAAGAAAAGTTTGCTCTCGGCATACACCTGGTGTTTCAGCTCATTCAACGCATACATGGGCTCAAGCAAGGTGTCCACCGTAAAAACCCTTTGGAGGTGTCTGACAATGGAGGCCGCAATCCAAACACTTTGCATTGGGGCAGCCATCTGGCCGATTGCACAGAGGTTCAACCTCTCATTGTCACTCCAATTGATTTTGGGGGGAACTCCACAAAGCATGGCAACTTCGATGGCATGGAGATGCCGATACACAACAGTTCCATCGCTTTGGGTGAATTGCAAGATCTGGGCGTACAAGCCCCTGGCCTCGAGCAAACCATCGGAGAATCCACTGTCTCTGCATCCGCATGCGCAACCCAGCACTTGGCCTCCCCATGAGTGGAGAGCCGTAGGAAGTTTTTGTCCTGGCTGGACCAAGAATTGCCTCAGATGTCTGCCATGCATTTGAAACTTTTCAAGTTCAACATCGGTCAACTGCAGTTGGTTTTCAACCTCAGAGGGCCAACGGAGGACATAGGGCATGACATCACGGACAGTCAGGGCAGATTCACTTGGTTGAGGAGGGATGGCAACAGCACCAAGGGCAGGGTGACACGCAACAAGCCACCAACGATAGCGACAAGCAGCCCAAACGTTCTCCAACCTCATGCGACACTGAGAGACATGGAAACCAAGCTTGGTACGCAAGAGTTCAACATGTTCGGCAACATAGGCATTGGTCTGTGCCTGGGTCACGCATTCAATGACCAACACAGGAGCTTGGAGCATGTGCATGATTCGTAAGGTGGCTGGCAAGGTTGCTGAACGCTCGTCATCACCTCCATGTCCCAGACCACCTCTACTGTATGGCTGGCATGAGATCCCAGCCATCAACGTACAAGGGTCTGGCCAAACTTCATATATCCTCGCCACCGTATCAGCCAAACAAATGTCAGCATGGACAGTAGGGACCCCAGGGTGAACCCTCTGGTGCGAAGCAACAAGAGACGACTGCCACTCGACTGCACAACGCTGATGGAAACCAACCTTGGAAAACCCGAAGGCAGTGGCACCCATACCAGCACACAGTTCAACGTAGTTCAGCACATCTTCATGGAGCACAGGACGGTGAGGCAAGAGGACTGCAGAGGGACCCAGGTGCAAATCCACAAGGCCAGACAGACGGACAAAGGTCGCAGCCAAAACAGTGACACGGGGAAATCCAACAGCTTCCGGGGGGATATTCCCACTTATCCTAATGGCCTGCTCCCCAGGGCAAGAAACACCCATGGCCGCATGGCCATCCCAAATCACGTCCTTCAGCACCACGTCAACCTTCTGATCAGCCAGAAGTGAGCTCCAAGTCGGCTCAAACAGATCCGCAGCTGCCATTGCAGCGAAACAAAACCGAATTGGAAAAACAGGGGGGTCAAACCACTCAAATATCTGCCAGCGCTGCCTCCCGCAGCACTGACAGGGTTTTGAGCAACAGGCTGACATAGTCAAAGCAGTGAACTGCTTGGAGCCGGAGGATTTACCAACATTCAAAAAAATGGCAGCTGTGGCCATCCAAGAAATTGATTTGCAAAGTGCTCGACCCAATCGTACCCCACGACCAGGAGGGTTGGCATATGAAACAAAGTCTCATCACACCCCTGAATCATTTCGACGTGATTTGGATTCCCTATGTCCTTCTGGTGCCGAGTGCAAGATCTATCGCCATCCTGTGTTGAAAAGGTATCAAGGTTTCTACATCCCAGAGGGGGGTGGAATCTTTGCTCTTATTAGTATCCTATGAGATTCAAACATGTATGTATATATATATATATATGAGGCATATCTACACATGTACAAAAGTACATGTGCATCTTGAGGATGAAGTACTAATGTGTCCAAATAAAAAGAATTCTACCGGATAACGGGAGCTGCATGGACTTCGGCAAAGGACACCCCCACAGTCGCCTGGGCTCGCACTTTTGGTGCAGGGCTGCTCCATTCAAATGATGTCGAACGTCTCCACTGTGCCCTTCGCCTGCAGCAAAGGCGCGGTAACACTTGAGAGTCTCTGCCTGTCGGCAGCTTGCCCAGTTTCCAGGGAGCAAATACTTGCAGCTCCTTGCGCTGAATCGCCCAAATTTGATGAGGAGAGCTGTGCAGTTGTCCTGGCTCCCTCTTCAAAGCGCTTCTTGCAGCATTTTGGTGACGACCTCCGCGGCTGTGGTTCCAAACCACCAACCAGGTATTGTTGGTTAAACGGTTCAACCACCATTGTTGTTGCTTAAAAACACCTGTTTATGATGGTACCGCAATCTTTCCACCAGGTTTCCCCGCCTCTTGCCACCTTCGAAGAGTGGCCACGGCCGCCACGGCACCTGCGGTTCACCAAGGGAGACACTGGCAGTTCACCAAGGGAAACTCGGGATACGAGTTGTGAATTTGCTGCAGGATGGGGCCCCTAAGATAGCGTTCAGGTGCCTTATAAGTGGCTGAATTCTATGGTTTATGGTGGATATAACGAACTAGTTATAGGTGGTTATAATGGTATATAAACCAACTTAAAAGTGGGGGGCCCCATCCTGTATGAAAAGGGGCAATAAAGGACTGGGAAATAGCTGAAATCCACTACTTATTTGATTGGTTTTAGATCCTAAAACAGAATGGAAATGACCTACTTCTCCATGGAAATTGCTAGAATGCACCTCTGAAGCCACCCTTCACTAGGCTTTGGCATTGGCCTTGATACCTTTTTCCTGGTTGCTTCAGGGCTTCCCAGGTTTCATGCCCGGATGGTGAAATCTCCATTTCGGCTTGGTGAACTCCCAATTCAGAATTCAACTGGTGAAATTGCCGTTGTTCTTTGTTGAAATATCTATATTTTTTTGGGGGTTAAATCTCCACTTTTCTTGGTGAAATCTCCATGAAAAGGTTGGAGGAACTCGCCTTCCATGATCCAACTCCAGCCCAGCCCCCAGCCTGGAGAAGGAAGGTCTTCTATGGCACGTCGCCACTGGCCTACCAGCCATTTCGCCAGGGAATAACCATATGAAATGACCTGTTGATCTCGGGATTTACCATATATAATATACTGTATTAAAATATAATATAATTTAATATAATATAATATAATATAATATAGTATAATATAATAAAAATATAATATAGTATAATATAATATAATATCATATTGTATAATATAATATAATTTAATATAATATATCATAATATAATATAATATACTATAATATAATATATCATAATATAATATAATATACTATAATATAATATAATAGAATAGAATAGAATATAAATATAAATATAATATAATATAAATATAATATAATATAATATAATAGAATAGAATATAAATATAAATATAAATATAATATAAATATAACTTAATATAATAAAATATAATATAATATAATATAATATATATTATATTATATATAATATATATTAAATGTTAAATATTATAAATTATATTATAAATTAAATATATTATATATTATATTATATATTATATATAATATATTATATATTATATATTAAATATTAAATATTAAATATTATATATTATATATTGTATATTGTATATTATATATTTTATATTATATATTATATATTGGAAAAGCCGTTTCAGAGCCACTTTTTGCGTTCAAAATGGCAAAAAAACACGTTTTCTTAAAACAGCGCAGAAAAAAGCAATCTGGAGGGTTACCAGGTAGACCAATTGCAAATCAAGCTGCCAGAGGACATGATTCTGCGCCGCTCGATGGTGAAAACTCCGCCTCCGCAGCCCAGGTGACCTCTGTACGCTGCTTGAGCTTGACCATTCCTCACGTGGACATAGAACACGGATGGCAAGCGTCATTGTCTCCAACCATTCACGAGGATATAGCCTGGCCTCTGCACCGTTCTTCTTGGATGTGGTCGTCGCCCAGTCCTTTCTCTCGGATTATCCTCCAAAGACATGTCTGCATGCCTGGAATCGGGCGCTGAACCCCGGCTGACGGCCTTGGGGCGCAGCAGACTAACACCATCCTCTGGGACGATGCGCCAGGGCCAAGGCCCGCTCAGGGAGAGGTGGCTAGGATCAATGCCCATACACAAACACACACGCTAGACAAAATTGGATCTTTTAAGTGATCCATCAGGAACTGAGTCCTTAAACGTGCAAATTAGTCAGGAAAACAAAAATCCTACGAAGAACAATTGGATAAGGGGATGTACTCCGAAAAGACAGTCATGATCACGTTGCAGGTACGTCCAGCTGGCCAAGCTGGATATCCCATTTCACTGGTAGCTTCGTTGGACACAGTCCCAGTGAAATGCTGTGTCCCCCTGCAAACATACAAAACCATTGAAACCGATTTAGAAGTTTTACATCTGTTCAGATGTTACGCACACACACACACACCCGGCCGGAGCCAGGTCAACCCTGAAAGGCATCAGGAAGAAAAAAGCGGACACAAACGACGGGCAGAAGGCCAAAACAGCGCAGGGGGGTGGAAGGGAACAAACGGACCTCCACGGCGAGACGGACCTAACCAGCACAGGGCACACATCTAAACCCCACGACACAAGAATTAGGAACCGAATGGGGGTTAGTTGATGACGGAGGTGAAACAACAAACTAATTAATGAAAAGGACCCAGTTCAACCCTAGATAATCGTGCGTTGTTCCCAAAAAGGGACCGTGGTCAAATCCAGCCACATGGGCATAAATGGCTATTCAAGTTCCATCGAATTGGATGCACGATATGTTCAACCTCACCAGATACCAAAAAGACCATACCTGCAGGAAAAAGACATGCCTATCGCCTGTCATGGTTCATGTCAGCGTGCTCTGTAAAAGCTCAAGCTGCAGCGAAAAAAGAGGTTTGTGGCTATTCGGTACGGGTGCAGACGCGAAGAGATGAAGATTCCGTAGGTTCACAAAGGACAGCAGGAGCCGCAGGACTGCACAAAATGGTGAAAAACGAAAGGCCGACTGTTGCACAATACTTAAACGAATTACTAAGTTAAAAGTGTCACTTCCGAAGTCAGGTCTGTCCTCATTCTGCCTAAACAGGGATGCCTCAAATGGCTCCATAGCACCATGTCGGACTCACCATGGAAGTCACACTAGACAAAATTGGATCTTTTAAGTGATCCATCAGGAACTGAGTCCTTAAACGTGCAAATTAGTCAGGAAAACAAAAATCCTACGAAGAACAAATGGATAAGGGGATGTACTCCGAAAAGACAGTCATGATCACGTTGCAGGTACGTCCAGCTGGCCAAGCTGGATATCCCATTTCACTGGTAGCTTCGTTGGACACAGTCCCAGTGAAATGCTGTGTCCCCCTGCAAACATACAAAACCATTGAAACCGATTTAGAAGTTTTACATCTATTCAGATGTTACACACACACCTGTATCCAAATGTGTTTTTGAAGATGCAGGTTCGTAGATGTAGATGATGATGATGATGATGATGATGACGATGACGATGACGATGACGACTGGTTGGTGGTTTTAACCATCTTGAAAAATATGAGTTCGTCAATGGGGTTGGGATTATCCCATATATAATGGAAAATAAAAGCCATGTTTGAAACCACCAACCAGATGATGACGACGAAGATGGCTATATTCCCCCCTAGAGGCTAGGAAGATTCAGCTCGATCAAAGATTTGAAACACAAACAACTCGTCGACGAGGAGCGCAGCTGAGGTTCATGGGTATAGCAATGGCTAAAACCACCATAATTGGGATATAACATGATATAACATGATAGCATTCCTACAAGTATGGTTACAAATCCACAAATACTTGGAACTGCACCAGTACTGCACCCCAAAATGAGAGGATAACCCAATAAGACCAGCCTGCCCCGTTCGCCTTGAACCACGGCACCAAGAGCCATGGGCCACGGTGACAACCTCCCATGGACACAGTTGGGATCCTTTGACAAAACTGGCGTTGGGAAAACTCCTCGGTTCTACGTGAATTACCCTCTGGTTATGACGTTTACAGTTTGCCATGGTATAGATGGCCCATAGAAATAGATGGTTTACCTAGGTTTACCGTTCTTAAAAAGGGTGATTTTCCATGGCAAACTGTGAGTCATAACCAGATGGTAATCCCCAAGGCTCCATCTATGGAATATGCATCATTTGTCCACAGAAATGACGGAAATATAGGTCGATGTTGTAGACATGGGGCAGGAATCTCACGCTACTGACCGATCCCAAGTAGGAAGAAGGAGGCGGAACGTGAGCAACATGTCACTTTCTGGTAGTTTAACATAGCTATGGAAAATGGCACATTTATAGATGATGTACTTGTTAGCCACGTGAATTTCTTTCGCTATGTTAAATCACCAAATAAGAAGTTCTATTGACGACTTTTGGTTTCGGAAATGTTTGAAACAACAGACAGGATTTCATTCCAATCACATCTCTATATTGGAAATAGAAACGCCTTCTGGTCCCTTCAATTATTGTTTGCGTTGGTCTTGTGTGGCTTTGTCTTGGGGGCGCCTTTGAAAACAAACCATGACATCTTCTCATGATGTTTGCTTTTTGGTGCCTTTTAGCTACGTTTGTTGATTTGTGGTTTCCAATCTTATGTGCGTCACCTCTTGAATCTGGGATGATAGTCCCCAAGCGAACTTTAAAAGGGTGTGGGCTGGCTTGATACCACCAACCCAGCAATCTTGATCTGGCGAAATCCTGCTAAAATATATTCTATCACTATATCTGCTATCTGGTGGGTTACTATATCTGTACTATATCATACTATATCTGCTATATCTGGGGGTTACTAAATCAGCTAGAACAATATCTGGTGATGAATTGAACCTGTTCTATCTTTTTGGGGGTGACCAAAATATCTGTCGCCGTGATTTCTGACAAATTTCTACAGATTTTTTTCCCTGCGCAGAGGAGAATTCAGAAAACTTAACGGCGCCGTTTTATCCACAGAAATTCAACGGCCCCGTGTGGGCGCCTAACATACTTTCCTTGTTGGTGCAAACAGATCGCGACTTCGCCAGAAATATGCAGACATTCTGGGTAAAACCATGCTGCTTCGACAAATTTGATTGGTCTACCAGTTGTTCTACTAGTGCGTATGGAATATCAATAAAAAGTCTCACTATGAAGTACCCCCATTCCGACTCCTACTGCTACTGCTACAGTTCCTCCTACTGCTACTCCTCGGGCATTTTTGTGGGTTTCACCTCGACTGCGTGCACCCCCAATGTTTTTTGGCAACCTCCATATGAAAAATCATGATACAGTATGGTTATTTTCATCATTTTTTGTTGAGTTGAAGTTTGCTAACCAATGATTTTGCAAATGATTGAATTCTTGACCTTACCTATCATAAAATTGGAATTTACTAACTCACATCATAGTCCCAATGACCTATTCAAAAAGTAATAGCCCCAATTACTCCACTACAACCTTTAAGAACCACTATGACCTATTCAAAAACCAACACTTGGAAAACTCACTTACTGGTTGGGCCACACGATCTGCGATCATTTACTATACACTAAACGAATAATTATACTACATATTATATTATGGTCGAAATTGATTTTACTAAACTCAATCCAAATCCCTGCCCCTAATATTAAGTAAGCCCTGATTTAGTCTTGGATCTATGCATACTGGTTTTCGATTGGGGGCCCATATGGAAAGTACAAAAACTAGCAGGGGAAAGGGATTATCACTATAAATCCCATACAGGCACCCGTGGAAGTCAGGACTAAACACCGCGGGGTTGGTACAACTGCATGGAACGCACCGGTTACGTCGAAGTCAGAAAAGGCGGGACCTGGATCAGAAATCCTATTGGTAACGCTTCAACGCTGGGGCCAAATATCTACATCAAAATGTTACTGGAGATGTTAGTTCCTACTGGAACGCTAATGGAATATTTCTGCTAATTCTATGTCTTCATAGGCTTTTCCTGCATGGAACGCTAATGGAATAATTCTGCTAATTCTATGTCTTCATAGGCTTTCCTGCATGGAATCGCTACTACTGGATATCTAAATTTGCACCACACTTCCCAGAATCTGCTACAGGATCCTTTTTCACTTCTTCACATATCGCAAAGCACGATTGTATTTCTCAGCGGACAGCCACTTCTCTTTTACTGATGCTTCAGACCTGCCCAAACCACCTGAGCAAATCCCCATGTGAACTCCGTTTCTCAAGACTACTCCTGCCAGAATCTCATGCGCAGTGTGTTTTAATTCATACTGGAACTCCGGATTCACAGGTCAGGTTTGGACAGAAGGGTTGCATATCAAAAACTGTGGTGGACAAGGGTGCATTTATACGAGGTCCGATACGAGGTCTATACAAGGTCAATACGAGGTCAGCCTATATGGTTTGTCCCGGAGCTCGCCGTGAGCTTCTGAAGCGAGATTGCTCCACTTGTGCTGGCAACAGCAGCGGAGGAGGAAGCAGCAGCAGCAGGAGGAAGCAGCAGCAGGAGCAGGAGGAAGCAGCAGCAGCAGCAGCAACAGCAGCAGGAGGCAGCAGCAGCAGCAGCAGGAAGCAGCAGCAGCAGCAGCGGCACCAGAAGGCAGCAGCAGCAGCAGGAGGAGGAAGCAGCAGCAGCAGGAGGAAGCAGCAGCAGGAGCAGGAGGAAGCAGCAGCAGCAGCAACAGCAACAGCAACAGCAGCAGGAGGCAGCAGCAGCAGGAAGCAGGAAGCAGGAAGCAGGAAGCAGCAGCAGCAGCAGCAGCACCAGAAGGCAGCAGCAGCAGCAGCAGGAGGAAGCAGCAGCAGCAGGAGGAAGCAGCAGCAGGAAGCAGCAGCAGCAGCAGCAGGAGGCAGCAGCAGCAGCAAGAAGCAGCAGCAGCAGCAGCACCACCACCCCAATTGCTTTCCCGCATGGAAATGAACCGTTCAATTGCAAACAGAACCGATTTCCACATCCACCTGTAGATATCCCATTGAATCACTATAAAATCCCATTAAATCACTATATCATATCCCCATTAAGTTACCAGAGGGTATGTCTATTAGTGCTTTTTCTTGTCTCCGTGACTAAGTCATGTGGAAACGGGATTATCTCAATTCGTAGCTCCGTAAATGGCGAAAACCCATAGCTCCGTTTGCTGCTCCTAACCTGACCACCGGTGACCAGGACTGGCCATGAATAACATAGCTATTAAAAACAGCACCATTGTTTTCATAGGTGATTCATCTATATATCGGCTCTTTTCATCAATTACATATGTATATATATATACATATTGTACATATATATATATATATATATTGTGAATCCACATCATTGCAGTATCTCATAGAGAGCCTTGCAATTCATGTCCTCAACCTGCCAGGTGTTTTTCACGTTCAACAAAACCTCATGGGATACCGTTAGCACTTGAGGCTCAGGGAAGCCAAGGAGTGGATAGAGGGCGGGATTCATAAGTGCTGTGGAGCCATAACAGTCTACTTGGTTTGGGCGAGGACGTCCATTGAGCCTGGGGCTCACGCTTGTCGATTGGGGCATCACCGCCCGTTGTTGCAATCCCTTTCTGCTCTGTTTTGGAAAACCTTGCAGCCAAGACTTGATGGCGGATCCAAAAAGAGAGAAGAGCGCGGAGTTCAGGTGGGAAGATCTTGCTGGAAGCTACCAGGTGGTTCGGTCTAAGACCAACTACACTGGTAGCGGAGCTACCGTTACACCAAGACGGAAAATCCAGGGGAAGTCGAAGAACCTGCTGCACGATCGCAGCCTATGTCGGAGTCATCAGACTACCAATGTCCCGAACCAACTGGCTATCCTTGTGCCGTCATATGACCCTAGCAAGGATGACTTACAGGTGTACTCCCAAAAGGTGATGTTGCTCCTGGAGGCCTGGCCTACGGGAAAATACACAGAACTAGCTACTCGCCTGATTCTGAACAGCAGTGGATCAGCTTTCAAGAAGTTGCAATTACACCAGACCGAGGTGACTCAGAATGACCGAAAATCAATTCTGAAAATCCTAGAGCTGTTGGGAAGCCACTGGGGTCAGATTGACCTTGAGCAACGCTATGAGTATGCCGAGAGGGCGTTGTACAGGTGCCAACAAAAATCCGATGAAAGCGCAGACAGTTTTCTGGCGCGAGCTGACATCATGTGGACAGAACTGAATAGCCGTAAGTTTCAACTCAGTGATCTGCAAGCCTATGTCACTCTTCGTGGATCGACGTTATCCGCGGAGGACAAAAAGCGAGTTCTTTTGGATGCGGATGCAGCCAACAAGGGATCTCTGACCGTTGACAAGGTGAGCTCAGCTATTAGAATGCTGGGCGCTGGTTTCTTCCATGAGATGACAGCAGGACGTCGGACAACAAAGTTGAAAACCTATGATCAGTCGGCCTTGATGGCTGAGGATATGGACGAGGTCGAACCTGACCAACCGACCTTGTCGATGGAAACCATGGACGAGGATGATGATCAAGTGGTTGCCGCCCTTGCCCAGGAGGGAGATGAAGATGCGTCACTTGTGGCCGATTTCGAGGCCGCCGCAAGTGAGTTGCTTCAGAATGATGATGAGCTGGCAGCAGCCTACACGGCGTATCATGATGCCAGACGCCGTCTCAATGACAAAGTCCGCAACCGTGGATTCTGGCCCATTGGTCAAAAGGGCCGGGGAAAAGGGTTCCAAAAGGGGGTCAAAGGAAAATTCACCAAGGGACACCAGTCCTCCAGAAAGTCACTGCAGCAGAGAATCTTAGAGTCACGATGCCGTTTGTGTGGAAAGGTTGGGCATTGGAAAGCCGAGTGCCCAAGTCGTGGTGATCCAAGTGCTTCAGCCAATCGAGGGTCTCAAGCCCCCACATCATTTGTGCAAGTTGCCTCCATGGATACTGCCAACCATGATGGACTGCCTTTGGAATTCCTGGACCTGCCAATTCATGAT